AAGTTCCTGAAATTGTTATCAAAGTAAAGCTGTGCATATTGATTTTTTAAACTGGATGTAGCAATGGAGCAACTGCCTTGTTTTTGCATGTCAAAATGAGTGTAAATCAGAAATAATTTTCCAGCAGGCCTGTTGCTAAAATTTCAGTGATTCCAAGTGAACAAACTGGAATTCAAACTTAAGTTTGATAGTGATCCACACTTCCTTCTTGTTATTCCGCATATTTGTTGTCTCCCTGCTGGACCATGAAATCCTGCTGTAAAATATGAAACTTCTTCAATTCATGCTTCATATATGCCTTTTACTAAACTAATTAGTTTACTACACAATTGGAGGGTGTTTGATTGTAGGGATGTTTGAAAATTAGAAAGAAAGAGAGCAGGTAAGCAGGGTAGTATAGAGGTGAACGATAATTGATGTTGACAGTAAGGGGTAAAAGATTTAGAATATAGAATACAGAAGAGTGTAGCAGAAATTAGAACCAAAGTAATGAGACTGAAAGGTCAAAGCTTAAGGCTTTTTCTCTGAGTGCATGCTGCATTTTTAGCAAGATAAATTAGTTGATAGTACAGAAAAAAATAAATGAATATGATTTGATATTATGATTGCAGGGTGATCAAAACTGGGACCTCAACATTCAAGAGTAGCTGACATTCTGGGCAAAAAGGAAAGGAAGGTGGGGTAGCTTTATTAATAAGAGTCTCAGTGCGGTGGTGAGTAGTGATATGGGTACAATAGATCATGATCCAGTTTGTGTCGAACTGAGGAAGATCGAGGGAAAGAAGTCACAGTGGGAGTCCCCTTCAGGCTACCAAAGATTTGCCTCACTTTAGGACAAGGTCTTAATCAGGAAATAGTGAAGGCATATAAGAAGGGCACGACAATTGTCTTGAGTGATTCTTCTCTACATATTGGCTGGATAAATCAGCTGGGCATGGATAACATGAAAGGCAAATTTTTGATTGGATCTGTCTCAGAGCAGTATGTTGCAAGATGTACCTGGATAGAACAATATCTTTGCAAACATAAGTTTCACTAGAGAGGAAGAAAACAACAAACAGCTACCGTTCTTGGACGTAACGGTAGACAGACTGACTAACGGCAAATTCCGGACCCAAGTATACAGGAAGGCCACACACGGACCAAATCCTTAACTTCAATAGCAACCACCCTACAAACAGAGCTGCATCAAGACACTATTTAAGTCCTGCATCATACTGCAACGCCCCAGAACTCCGGAGAATGGAAGAGGAACACCTACACAAAGTTTTCACTGACAACGGATACCCAAGAAGTTTTGTCTGCAGATGCTTACAAAACAGACGACCATCAGAGGACACGGTACAACAGAAGACACTAGCAACACTACCCTACATCAAAAATATATCAGAAAGGACTACCAGACTCCTAAGACCGCGTAAGATCATGATTGCACACAAACCTACGGCAACACTATGCCAAATGTTATCAAAGAGTAAAGACCCCAATATCAACAGTAAACAAGGCCAACGTGATATACAGAATACTAAGCAGCGAGTCTAATAAACATTACATTGGAAAAACAAGGAGGAAACTGGCTGGAAAAACAGGGAGGAAACTGGCTGGAAAAACAGGGAGGATACGTGAACGCCAACTGGCAATAAAAAGACACGACCAATATTCACTTGTCTGAATATACACAGACAATGAGAGCCATCAGTTTGACTGGGAAAACTGACCATACTGGGACAAGCAAACACCAGACATGCAAGGGAATTTCTGGAAGCCTGGTTCTCAACATGGGACTCCATTAACAAACGCAGAAATAGACACCATCTACAGACCGCTGCTAAAACAACAGAACCTGAAGCGACAGGACCATCACACCAGAGGATCGTGTAAATCCAGAAGGAAGCAGAACACCAGCACTTCGTTTAGAGGTCGCACTGATGATGTTGCCTAGAAGGGTAAAGAAACGCCTGCACAGAACAACCAGCTCAGCAAGCTATCGAACAACTGCATCCACAACCCGAGCTACAAATTTTCGCTAAGACTTTAATAACAACAGCTTGTGTTTATGTTGCACTTATTAATCTAAAATTAATTCAAGCCAAAGAGGTTTAGCAAGAAGATGTGAGATGTATTTTGAGGAAAGTCTGAGAGATTTCTCTGCACTTATACTCCAGCAAATGAAAAAAGGAACTTGCTTTTATACAACATTGACGTAGTAGTAAATCTCCATGCTCTTTACAGGAACAGTATCAAACAATTTGACTCTGAGTCACATAACAAAATATTAGGACTCTGTTAAATACTTGGTCAACTTGGGCAGTTTTAAGAAGCGTATTAAATATGGAAAGAAAGGTAGGGAAACAGAGAGATTTCGGGAGGGGACTCCAGAGCATAGGACCTAGGCCTAACTCAAAGTATGACTTCCAGCAGTGGAGTGATAGGAAATGATGGCACTCAGTCTTGGCCTTGCAGTAAAGTTCACATCCTGTGAATGTTTTTTTTAAAAACTCATACTTAATTCTCAGATATAACAGAGGGTGGAGCTGAAGGAGCACAGCAGGCCAGGCAGCATCAGAGGAACAGGAAAGCTGACATTTCGGGTCAGGACCCTTCTTCAGAAATGGGGAGGTGGGGGAGAGCTCAGAAGTAAATAGAGAGAGGAGATGTGGGGCTGGGGAGGTAGGTGGGTTGGTAATAGGTGAGTGCAGGTAGACAGTGGTGGGAATTGCTCAGTGAGGTGGGAGTGGCTGATAGGTGGGAGAGAAGATGGACAGGTTCTGTCAGGTCAAGGAGGCAGGGATGAGAGGGAGGGTTGGTCATAGGATGAGGCCGGAGCTGGGGAGATTTTGAAACTGGTAATATCCATGTTTAGGCCATCGGGCTGTAGGCTCCCGATGTGGACAGCTGAAGGCACTGCTGTCATTTGTAAAACAGTTAAAGTCAGGAATGCCCAAGAGGGCTGAATTGGAAGATCACAGCTACTTAGAGGAGTAATAATGCAGGAGACAGTGAGAGATAGGGGACATAGGACTGATGAGTGAGTCGGACTTTTATCAATTAAGATACAGGCAGCACAACTTTCAATGAGCTCAGGTTAATTTAGAATGAAGACCATCAGTAATGCTTTGGATTAGTTGCGTGTCTGCTTAACAAAGGTGTGGTTGAGAGGTTCAGCAGCTGATGAACTATGGCAGTATCTTAGTCAAAGAACAGAGTTGCCCTTGAAGCACATTTGTAGGGTTTCAAACATGTATCTTTGGATAAATGGGCATACTAGCGTGTTCAACAACTTTGATACAAAGCAATGAATATTGTGCACGTTTGCAGTTCAAATACTACAAACAAGGTGGTTCAGAAACAGTCTTTGCCAAATCTAGACAATGCAGTTTGTAGCAGAGACCAAAAACTTTGACTTTGGTCTTTCCAATATTTAGTTGGATGCAGGAGTCAAAATAATTTTATTTTGAGGGTACCTATTTCAGGAAAAAGGATTGCCTGACTCAGTTTTGTCAAAGACTTCTTTCTGATTATTCTAAGCCAGACTGGCTTCAGGTCTTTTTGCAGGCACGGGGCAGCATGTTTAAAAATATGGGCTGTTGCACAGATACATGGGAGTGCAGAAATTGAATGAGTAGGTGAGATCTCATAGAAACCTATATACTTGTGACAGGACTAGACAGGGTAAATGCAGGAAGGATTTTCCTGATAACCAGGGAGTCTGGAGTCAGGGGTCACAGTTTAAGGATATAGGATAGGCCATTTCACACTGATTTGAGGTGAAATTTCTTCACCCAGAGAGTGGTGAGCCCGTGGAATTCTCTGCTACAGGAAGCAGTTGAGGCCAAAACATTAAATTTTCAAAAGGAGATATATTTTGTAGAGCTAAAGGCATCAAAACATATGGGGAGAAAGCAGGAACAGGGTACTAAGTTGGATGATCATTCATGACCGTGTTGAATATTGGAGCAGACTTGAAGGACGAAATGGCCTACTCCTGCTATTTTCAATTCATCCGTGATGCCAAACAGATTCCTGCAATCAAACATATGTAGCAAGATCATGAAAAGCAAAACCAAGTACTGAGATTTGTTTCTGGAGAAATAGAATTGGAAAGCAGGGAAGTGATACTAAACCTGTATTGAACTTTGGTTAGAACATAATTTGAGTATGGTGCACAATTCTGATTTGAGATAGTGAAGGATTTGAGAGAGGTGTTAGTGAGGTAGAGCTGGTGTCATTATTGTGTATGAAAAACTTGATAATTTTGTTTTCAGGTGATGCAAAGAGATGACATAGTACTGATAGATAAGATTGAGTCATGAGAACACTTTTGATGGGGGAGTGGGAGGGAAATGCCCATGGTATTGATCTGGGGCTGAAAAGATAAATCGTTGCAGTTGATTCTTTTGGCAAAACTGGATAGGAAAGATGGAACCAAGCAAGGGCAGTCCCACTGGAGTGGTGACATGTTAAAGGAGAATGTTGTGGCCATTTAGAGTAAATCTGCAGACTGATTAAGAAGTGGTGGCTTACGTTCATCATGGCACATGGGATGTCATTTATGACATAGGCAAAACCTATTTAAAGACTAGTTAGGTGGAAACGTAACTGTAGGGTTTCAAACATGTATCTTTGGAAAAATGGGCATACTAGCGTGTTCAACAACTTTGACACAAAGCAATGAATATTGTGCACGTTTGCAGTTCAAATACTGCAATACTGAATAACACAACGTTGTCCCATTTTCATGACATTGTGCAGCAAATGTGAACTTGTGATCGTGAGATGTAACATTCGCTTAAAAAAGGTCCTTATAACATTGAAGCCAAGAACATATTTCGTGGAGATTAAAATTTATATCACAACATGCCAAAATCTATACTGAAGATGAATGTCAATCTAAACTATTTTGTCGATAGTTGAGGGGAGAGTGTTAGCTTCAGCAATGTAGTTCTCTGTGGAAGTCCAAAGTTGAGTATGCAGGTTAACTGTTCTTTCACTTCAATTATTGTTGCAACATCTTCCACCTGCTTGCCATCTTGCTTTTTCTTTAGCCCTCATTAGTCTCTAATCTCCTTTCAAAAACCTATAAACTGATTGCTTGAAGACTACCCAATGAATGATCTTTCGTGAACCAACCAGGCCTAAGTGTGTTGCTGTGACTATAAATAGGTATGAAGTTTATATAATTGTGCATGAGATTTGTGTTTTAAGGTGTCATTTGGACTTGCATATCAATAAACCATTTTAAGTATAATTGTGATTTTCTACTTTCCATCTTTTTTAACTTCTCATTTGTTGTTTTATACAAATTTTAATTATTTCTAAATCTTGCATGCAGCTGCATAACTGCTTTTTGCATTTAGATAAACCATAGCAGAATCTTGCACCCTAGTATGAAATCAACATCTGTACAAATGTTGCAGGCAGTAATTTTATTTTGTTGTTTCTAACATTGGAACTCTACATGATAAGTAAAAGGAGACAACACTGAAAGTGTTCTTCCAATATAAGAAAAAGTTAAAGCTTGCACAGGGCAATTTATAATGCAAATCAATATAGCTGAGAACAGACACCTTAAGAGCTGTTTTGAAATATTTGTTACGGGCATGGCCAAGGCAAGAACTGACATTGCATGTAAGTTTGTGAATTTGCTGGAAGCTCAAGAATGTTCTTAGGACAAAAAGGGCTGAAACTTCAGAAATTAGTACGTTTTGTTGCTGGAGTGATGCAGTTAGAATTAACCAAACATCATTCATCGAACTGGAAAGTGGTATTTTAACATCTTCAGGTCCTTTAGAAATTTTTTGAGACTGTTCAGTTTCTTCTACAGTTGTGATTTTTATGTTTATGTCATTAATAATTTCTGTTCATTTTTCTAGTGTCAATATTTAGTATGTCAAAACGAAAAGAAGATCTTTCTGAGGGATCACTGCCCATAAAGAGAATCAAAACTGAAGACACAAAGGACTATGAAGCAGAAGAAGACAAAACGACCAAAGGGAAAACTGTGACAACTAATGGGCAAAGTGGAGACAGCCTACCTCCAAATTCTCACTTGGTAAACTATACATAATTAGTAGAGACTAGGTTGTGTAAGTGTGACAATTCCCTTCCTTCTTAAGAAAGATAATTGTTCTGCTGAATTATTTTTGTGCAGCTCTTGGTATCTGATTATGAATAATAGTCCAAGTCGGTATACAATTTTGATTGTTAGTCCCTCCTGAAGAAAAGAGGGAGGCAATCCAATTGAGGTGCTTAAGAGTAAAATAACCAGATATATTGGGTTGCTTCAGGTCGAACTTCCTCAACATCCAAAGATAAAACAAAAGTATAATGTTGGATAAGTACAATTCCACAGCTTGTGAAAGCTGCAGTTTGGTAATTATCCTGAACATGTTGATTCTGAAACAATGTGAGTAAATGTGTGATACTTCGGTGTTACTAATACTGACTGTTTTGTGTCTTTTCTTGAATGCGGTTGCTTTAAACAGTCTTGTACCTGAATTGCCTATTATGTGCTATTACAACTTTCAGTCCAATTCATTATCTTGCCTAATTCCTTCATTCATGAGGTTTTCCTTTCCTCGGTCTTGATTTGAGTTTTTGAGCTTTTATTTCTTCCATCATCATTTCCTTGCACAGATAATTGTCGTTTCCCCTTTGTGGATATTTTGCTTAGTTTTTTGAAAAACTCCCTATATTCAAGCAAATAATCGGCACTTTTTAACTAAGGGCAAAATTTACAGAGATTGTGTCACTGTCACATCTGCAAATTCATTTGGGTTTTGCCAGTAATATGTCCGATAGGAAAAAATGCAGTGGTGGTAATTTCAAATTCCACGTAGGTTTGATCAGTAATTGAGTGTTATCTGTTGTTATACTGCTGTGTTTGAACTTAGGTTGTCCAAATGAGTTGGCAACTGTTTTTTTTCTGTCAGGAGAAGGGGAATAACAGGATCTGTTATTGCTGTACTAACGTATTTTGAATTGCAGTTCATACTTTATCAGGGAAACATGAAAATATGAAGTATTAGCAATATTTTATTCTTGCTACCTATTTATACAGACTTAATCTATATTTACTTGTTTCAGAATGAAGGTGATGTAGGAATAATTGAAAGTATTTCTTTGAAAAACTTCATGTGCCACGCTTGCCTTGGACCTTTTAAGTTTGGACCCAATGTAAATTTTGTGGTTGGAAACAACGGAAGTAAGTGCTCTTAATAGTTATAATTATCTCTGCTTTTCAAATCATAATGTATTATAACTGTGTAACCCTAATTTTGCCTGTTGGCTAACCCTGCTTCACCTGAAACTTAAAGTCTTGGTTCACGATGGGTAATTCCGTAGATCACCTAATATGAGTGTATTATAAATATTATGTTTTGACAGGGATAGGTTGCAAGTTTGAAAGCAAATCTTTCCTCCTATTCTCACCACCTGTCCAATATTCGATCCTTTGTTTAATTTTACCCTGTTATCTTTAAATGGTGAGATGTATTTCCCTTGCTCCTTCAACTTGTGGGCTCTGACCTTGCAATGCTTTGGTAAGGTGAAACTAAGAACGAGATTTATTTGAGGTACTCTGAGCGGTGGGGGATATCTTGCAACACAAATCCGCTTGACAATGCAGAAGAGGATATAGAATCAGAAGAAATTGAAATTATTCATATAGTAATGGCTTATGTTACAGAGATGAGGTTGATAACTCACTGATAATTAAAACCAAAACACCCAGAGAAGCTCGCCTCGCTCCGTAATCTGTTAAAGGAAATGTGAAATGGGGTATAACCTGCCTGTCAGCCCCCAATCTGTTATAGAAGGGAGGTTAAATGAAATTAACTACTGATACTCACTGTATACTCAACAAGGAACAATATATTTATCTAACAGTGAACAAATTAGCAGAACTGCTAGTAAACTAAACAATTTCCCCTTAACTACTAACTATTTCCGAATAAAACAAAATTCTAATAGTATGCTATTCCAGTAGATATAAGACTCACTTATATAAACCAAACTAATTTTAAAAAAACCTAGTCTCTCAAAATTACAGCCAGGATAAGTCTGCTGGAATGTTCTTTGCCTTCTCCACTGCCTTCCAGTCAAGGATGCCTTCTTCCGTCGAATTCTTGTGTCAGGAATATTAGCTAAGAGTGCCATAGTACCTTTATTTAGATGGTGCTTACTCTGAGAGCTTAGAGATTTCTGTGAGAGGCAGTGAGTTTATTTTCAGATGCCTTTTTCTTTTATACCCTTGATTACCTATTAATTGCTTACAATAGGATTGGTCCGAGGTTGTCAAAACTGTCAAATTTAAATTTAATTGGTTTTTGGTATCTAGGGCCTGGTTTAAATTAATTGGTTAAATTCAAAAACCTGTTGTCTTGGTAAAAATGCTGCTTTGCTTGCTAACAGTATATCCCTCGATACAAATATTTCAATTCAAGAACTCTCTGTGCTGCTGCTGCTGCTGCTTGCAGACGTTTTTTAATCTCCAAGCCTAGGGAAAAAATGCACCATTTAAAAGGACCACACATTCTTTCCTCCTATCATTTTACGAACAAATTCTAACGTTCTGCCTTTCAGTCCACAAATACTAAACCAACTTCGCAACACTTACAAACAACCAAGGAATACCATTTCATTGATGCCCTTGATTTTAATGCAGGGTCCAAAAGTCAAAATTTTGAATAAGTTGCCTGGAATTCCTGGTAAGGGATGGATTGATTTGCTAGCCAGTGGTTAGATTCTAGGCAGTTTCTTTTAAAAACCCTTCACTTGTGTTCTGACAAATTTTATTTTTAAATTGATGCGTGACTTCTGCTTCACTGTTTTGATGGAAGGAGATCTTTGCTTGGAGAGTGCACAAATATAGATTGGTTTTTGCTTTTTACAAGCTGGAGGTGTTCCCTGTGTAACTCAGAGATATTGATGTTGATTTTTGCCATTAGATAGGGAGATGGTGACATAGTGGAGTCAGTGGAGTAGAAATCCAGAGTCCCTGATTAAACATCTAGAGGTGTGTTTGAATCTCGCTGTGACAAATAGTGAAATTTGAATTTGATAAAAATATAAACTAAAACAAAGCTTATCTAAAGATGAGCAGGTAACCGTTGCCAATTGTAGTAACTACCCACCTGGTTGGGTAATGGCCATTATAGAAGGAAATCTATTGTTATCTGATCTGTTGAGTGTGGACAGATGCTTGGCAAATAAATTATAACGTAATTGCGTATGAGGTAGCAAAAACAGGAAGGCAGATTATTATCTGAATGGCAATTAGGTTTGAAAGAGGGAGGCACAATGAACCTATGCGTCCATATACTCCAGTTGCTGAAAGTGAGCTTGTAAGTGCAGCAGGCAAATGAAAAAGGCAAATGAGATGCTCGTCTTCATCATGATAGGATTCGCAAGTACAGGAGCAAGAATGTCTTTCTGCAATGGTGCAGGGCCTTGGTGAGACTGCTGTGTGAAGAGAGACTGAATCAGTTAGGACTATATTCACAGGAGTTAGAGGAATGAGAGAGAATCTCCTGGAAACCTATTTACTTGTAGTAGAACTTGATAGAATAAACACAGGGAGGATGTTCCCAATCACCAATAAATCCTGAACCATGGATCACAGTTTAAGTATATGGGATAGGTGAACTTCTTCACCCAGAGAGTGACGAACCTGTGGAATTCTCACTGAAAGTGACATGAGGCTAACACATTGAGTGAGTGCTTTCAAGAAGGAGCCAGATATAGTTCTTAGGGGTAAAGGGATCAAAGGATATGGAGAGAAAGTGGGAACTGGGTATAGAGTTGAATGATCAGTCGTGATCATGTGAATGGTGAAGCTGGTTTGAAAGGCCTTCTCCTATTTTCTATGTTTCTATGATCTAGCCTTCATGTGACTCCAGATCCACATCAATGTTGTTGACTTTTAACTTTGTCTGAAATGACCAGCAATCCAGTCATTTCAATGGCAATTAGTGATGGACATTAAATGCTGGCCTTGCTGGCAATGCCAACGTCCCTTAAACGGATTAATAAAAAAAGGTATGGATCAATGCTGACCCCTCAGCTGTTGTCTACTTGAAAATTGTGTTGTTAAATATGTAGTTGGGTTCAGTACTGTGGGAGGCATGTGACCAAACCCACTGGGAGAGGAGAAGCAATTACAATTGAGACAAAAGCTTGCATTGCAGATAGCCGAATCCGTATCATTATTCCAGGCATTAAGAGGTAATTTACACATCACGTGGAGTAATTGTAGTTTGCAGCTTGATGGTGTCAGGGATTTTCATAGAGACTACTGTTTCAATAACTGACTATAATATAATGAGCATTCCAGATTCATCAGGAGGGTTCTGATTGTTGACAGTCTGGCTGACTGTGACCTTGGAGAATTTCCTGGAAAATTATTTCTAAATATGGCCCTGTTATAATTGCAGCTGCCTTTGGGCTGTTTACTGTGTTTTAAAAGTAGTCCCATACACAGATATATATTAACACTTAACAGCAAAGAACTGTGGATGATTGAGATTTGAAATTTAAAAAAACAGCTGAAGAAACTTGAGCGTTGCAGCATATTGGAAGAGAGAAACAGTTAGCATTTTAAGTATATGACTCTTCTTGAGAACAAAGAATTGTATTTTGTACTTTGTTTGTGAGAGTTCACTTCCTGTGTCATAATTCCATCTATTGTAATGTCATCTTCATATCTGGGGGATAATTATAAGCTTGCTTGACATTATGTTATACTCTTTCATTTATGTTTGTACCTTCCTGAAGATAGATGACATTGCTTCAGTATGCTTCATTAACCGAGTTCCTGGCCTGTTGCCCATACCCAAAAGCTCTTTGACACATGCACGAGCCTACAGATCTGGCTGTCAAGTTTTTTCACTCCAAACCTGAGTTAATTTTTAGATGAATTGCTGTGTCGATACTTTATTTTTCTAATGAAGCAAAATACTGTGGATATTGTAAATCTGAAATTTAAAAAAAATGGTGGCTAAAGTCAGCAGGTTTGGCAGCATCTGTGAAGAGAGAAAGTGTTAACATCCTGAGTCCAATATGACACTTCCGAACAACTTTTTCTGAAATAATTGGATTTGAATGGTTTCTCTTTCCACAGTTGCTGCCAGACTTGTTGAGTTTCTCTGGAATTTTGTTTTTGTTCCCTTATTTGACTGTTAGTTTTCTTCATTTTTAAGTTTTTTTTATGTTTTGCAATAATTTCAATGATACCTGATCACCAAAGATAATATCCTTTCTATAATACCACATGGACTGCTCACCACTACCTTCTCAAGGGCAACTAGGATGGGCAATAAATGCTGGCTTAACTGGTGATGGCTGTATCCCATGAGAAAGTGCAATCAAACCTGCCGATCTGGTACCTAACTAAGCTTTAATATATGCCTGTTGCAGGCTGCTCTGGAAAGCTGTGTACTCTCAGCAATTGTGAGATTATCTCTTTGAACTAGGCAGGACTGATAACAAAAATAAATAAATTGTGTTCTCTCTTTCTAGGTGGGAAGAGTGCTGTATTGACTGCTCTTATTGTAGGCCTTGGTGGAAAAGCTACTGCCACTAACAGAGGATATTCTATAAAGGGATTTGTGAAAGATGGTCAAAAGTAGGTTTAATTAATTTTGTTGTTGGTTTTTAAATCTGTTTTCTCTGCATCAAATGTAGCAAGTGCATGGTGAATGTGCCAGTCTGTGATGAAGGTCTGCGGTGTAAGGCATTATAGAAGCCAGAGGCAGGGCAGCTGTCATCTTAGACAGGACAGCAACGAATTGCATCAAACTGCATTCGTAGCCATCCTGAAATGTCCACATATGCACATGCGCGCACACACACGCACCCTGGAGTGGTAAAGGCAGGAAGGCTGCCTGCTTCTGACCCCCATTTTCGTATGAATTCCACAAAGACCATCTTGGAGTTTATGCTATTGAAGGTTGGTGTGATTCACTGTGACTGCTTTGCTTGACCTGGTCCTCTCCCATACCCCAGTGACTATGACGAGGTGTCTGACCTGTCTCACTTCAACTGTGTGTGTAAAGCAAAATGACAATAGTTAGTAATTAGTGCTGCTTGGCACTATTTAGTTATGTTCATTTTTTTATTAAATTATGAATGTATGACTTTGAGATTGAATTTTTTTAAGGTTTGTTTGTTTGTTGTTTTCTTCCCGTACCTTAACTTTTATTTTTTTAAATGATGTGCCAAACCAGATATCAAACAGCTGCTACTCATAGACATCTGATTTGATTTCTGGAGGGCTGGAAACAGAGGTTATTTTCCTTCAATAGAAAAGTAAAATGTTTAGCACATCCAGCAACATGATCACAGAGAAACATGATGATGACTCTTTACCAGAGCCGATTGGAGGTGCTTGTGCTACAGTGGTAGTATCCTTACCCCTGAGCTGGAGGACCCGGGTTTAAATCCCCTGATACAAACGCCTGTCATAGCAAATCTGAACAAGCTGAATTTGGGGGCTCCTCTGTGGCACAGTGGTAGTGTCTTCACCAACACACACACACCACCCCCCCCCCCCCCCCCCCCCCCCCCCCCCCCCCCCCCCCCCCCGCCCCCCACACACCCACCCCCCCCAGACCGGGAAGCCCAGGTTCAAGTCTCGCTTGCTCCAGAGGTGTGTAATAACAGGCTGATTAGAAAAATACGTTAAATTTTGGTTTTAAGACCCTATTCAGAAATGTTGACTCTGTGAGGTTTGTTGCTTTGCACTTAGTTTGTGTAGATTAATTTCTTTTCAATTTTGATTTCACTGTCCAGAACTCCATTCAAAACAATGTAGGCAAATTTGAATTGCCTAAATGATGATTTCTTAAAGGTATCTTGAAAGTTTCTGAAAAGAACTGGTGATTAATGGGATTTTTTTTTAATCTAACTATCTGACATGGTGAATTTGTAGTTCTGCAGATATTTCCATAACATTGAGAAACAGAGGGCCTGATGCTTTTAAACCTGATAAATATGGAGAGGCTGTTATTGTGGAACAACGTATTTCTGGAGATGGAATAAGACAGTACAGATTGAAAAGTCAATCAGGTAAAACATATTGACTGTTTCAGTAAACCTCTATTTATGTTAATTTTATTGTTTAAAAGAAAATCAGTCTTTGAAGTAATTTACTATGGGAGAGTGTATTTTGTGATTATTTCAATTTGTTCCTATTCCCATACAGCTAGGATTTCTGTTTTTGGGAATAGGAAATTATCTGTGTTGAATAGAACCAAGGGGATGACATTGAGGGAAATGAAAATGTCTTTTCCTTCTGTAATTTTTAAATTAGGTGATATTCCTGTTATTCAAAATAGATTAGAGAAAACATTGGTAACCAAAGAAATAAACACAAAATACTACGCGTGCTAGAAATCTGAAATAAGAGTGCTGAGAAACTCAGTAGGTCTGTTCCTTATGTTATAAGATGTTGCCAGGCCTGCTGAGTTTCTTCAGCCCTTCGTTTCAGTTAGCTGTAGGATGTTACCTATTCATTTTATTGATTAGTTTGCATCAATGTAGTAGTTGGTGAAGATGATGAGCTTCGTATTTGTCGGGAAAAATATCAGTTAATAGTTACTTAATCTGCTGTGCACACTATGAAACACCAAGTCAGGTGACGAAGGAGTAGTGTTGTGAAAGCTTGTGATTTCAAACAAGCCTGTTGGACTATATAACCTGGTGTTGTGTGACTTCTGACTTTGTCCACCCCAGTCAAAGACTGGCACCTTCACATTATGGCACACCGAGGCAGATGGGACTTGAACGCTGACCTTTTGGCAAGGGTAGGGACACTACCGCTGCCACAAGAACCAGTAACAATTTATGGACTGGCTTTAAGTGAAAATTTTGTGTTCACTATTATACTTTCTGTAGGGCACATAGTTTCTACGAAGAAGGAAGAACTCAATACAATATTAGACCAATTCAATATCCAGGTATGTTTTCTCATCATCTTTTGTATAAACAAGCAGTATCTTTGTGAAATGGAATGTCATTTGTTGGCTTGTGAGATGAATTGTATGATGCAGTCCTCAAAGTTCAGTAGCTTAAGCCTAGCCTATTTCACAACATAACTGGGTAATATTCATATGAACCTTGGAACATATATTGTTATCAATCAAAGGAAGTGACATGATTGGTGAATATAATTCCAGACTTAATGAGGATTGCAGTGAATTTTAAGAGTTCCATTCTGGACTAACAGTCACATGGCTCACTTTGCAAGTTGTACCATTTGAGACTCGAGCTTTTGTTTTCTGAAATATATGCAGTTTTTCTTCCACACAATGTCTTGATTACGTGCTATACCACTTGTCTCCCTGTTGCCCCTCAGTGACACCATTTGGAATCACAATATCAAGTTCCACATGTACACTGATACCCACCTCTATCTCAGTACTGCCTCTCTATGTTTGTAGTTTGTCACAACGTGCAGCTGTGGCGAACAGAAATTTGTTTCAGTTAAGTATTGGGAAGTATTATTGAGACAGACAGAAAGTGATTCTTTCAATATATCAATGGGAAGAGAGATGCCAAAGTTAATGTAGATCCCTTAGAGAATTAGGTTGTGGAAATAGTAATGGGGAATCAGGAAATGGCAGAGGAGTTGAATAAATGCTTTGCATCTTTCTTCACAATAAAAGACACTAATTGCATTCCAAAATTGCAAATAATCAAGTTTCAAAGGGAAGAGAGCGAATAAATACAACTACTGACACTTGATAAAGAGTGCTAGGGAAACTAAAGTTCAGTAAGTCTCCTGGAAGTGATGATATCCATCCTAGAATATTAAAATAAACAGTTCCAAAGATGGTGGATGCACTGGCAGTAATCTTCCAAGAATTATTTAATTGTGGGAAAATCCTAGAGGATTGGAAAATTGTCAGGAAGTTCAAAAAAAAACAAAAAAAACTGGTCAGATTGGCCAGTTAGCTTAACTTTTGTTATTGGGAAAGTATTTGAATCTTTTATCAAGGATGTAATAGCAGAGCATTTAGAAGTACATAATTAAGCTAAGTCAGCATGGCTTCACAATAGGCCACGTATGCCTGACAAATTTATTAGAATTCTTTGAGGAGGTAACAATCAGCTTAGATAAAGGAGAAGCAGTGGAACTAATAAAGTTGCATTTTCAGAAGGCATTTAATAAGAGTCCATGGTTTTGAAGGTAGTATATTTTGGAAATAAGATTGGCTAATTCATAAGAGAATGTGAGACAACAAGGTGCAGGGCTGGATGAA